CACCAGACAAACTGCAGAAAGCCCTGGCCAATACACTGCCACAAATACAACCCCACACAACCAGCAAACAGCATCCACACACACCGTCAACGGAGCACGGTGGAGTCATTCTGAAAGCCCGTGTGTGAATTGCAAAGAGAAATTTTAATTATACATGCTGGGATATACCAGAGAGCAACCAGATGGAATAAGATGTACAGTCAGCACTAGTAAGGACACCTCAGGCGAGCTCAGTGTAGAAGCATATGGAGCATTTAAGACTGAGTTAAACCAAAGTCTTGAGGGATAAGCTCCTGAAGAGAGCTACATGTTGCTCAAGGTGTGAGTTAGATTGCCGAGCATCACATGAGATTGATTTCTGTTATTCTCTTTCTTTTAAGACTTGTCTGAACCCAGTTTACTTTAACCTGTAAACGTGACATTTTCCTGGTGCATTAAATCCTCAGGAAAATTGCAGCTGGCGTGAGATCCAGTCAGTATTTGTCCGTACCCATCCTGCAACACCTCTTCAAAGATCTTATTTCAGCTTGGAGCCGCTGTCCAGGCTTTCATCACATGGAGTTGAAGGCCACCTAAAACCCAGCAGCCCTCCCTCACAGGGCATGAGCCGAATGTTTAAGAGTCCTCACTCGCTATTTGCAGTTTGGACTCTGGATGTTTCAAGAGCTGCCAGGCTAAAATTAAGAGCCCAGATAAGCGTATCAGCCTCTGCCACCCAACACCAAGGGCATTAGGAACATGGGTAGCAGCCAAGACTTAAAGCAGCCACAGTACGAACAACCAAATATCAAGGCAGCAATTCCTGATTTGGTCACACAAGAAAAAAAATAAATTTAGTGCTTAGACGTGGCTTAAACATCACAGTATTTTCTCTAAACCAGCAGCGAGTAGAAATATCATGTCAAACCAAACCCAGTCTTACAGTCATCTCAAGTCTCCCTTGGGACCTGAGTGTGCATTTTTCAGGAGCGGTGCAGCCGTGACAGCGATGGCGTTTGCAGGATGTCGGCACTGCCCGGGGGCCGTGTCCAGGAGCCATGGCGAGGCGCTGTGTAGCCGTGCCGAAAAGCACACGCATCTGTCACAGCCTAATAGCATCATGTTGACACGCACGTCAGCCTAACGCAAATATAACTGAGGGCAGCCCTTTATATCGGTGATATCTGTAAAGAAAGGAATTAAATCTGTGCTTGCGGTAAAGTATGCTGGGAGAGCTGGGTATGAGAAATAATGTTTTAATGTCTACAAGACAAAGGAAAGCAGAGGGGGAAGGAAAATCATCTGCATTTAACAAAGATTTGATAATGGGTTGAAAAAAGCCAAATATCACTCAAAACAGAAATACAAACAAACAAACAAAAAAAAAAAAATGAACTGGTATCCCAATTCCTGCCAAGCACTTTTGAGTCCCTGAGCTGCATGCACAAACCTGCCGGAGGCCCAGCCCTGCCCCTGGAATGCGCTCCCTCCAGGCAGCGCCGGGCTGTGGGCACGGCCGGGGCTCTCCAGCAGCTCGCCTCTGCTGCTCTGCCAGTTTGTTGTCAGAACAAGTTTCCTTCACGTCTTCGTTTCCTTCCAGTAAGGTCCAGGCAGCACAAAATGAAGAACCTCCCCTGCGCAGAGCAGTTAGCACAACGCCAAGCATCACCCCTTGAAAAACACTGCTTCAAACAGACGAGTGATACAGAAGCGATGTGCAGCGGGGGGACACATCCAGGGAAATGCGGATGAAGCCGTTTCAGAAGCAAAAGGCTGCTCCCCTGTGCTCCTGGGGCTCCACCTCACCGGGCCGGGCACACCACCAGGCTCCCCTCTGCCAAGGTGCAAAGGTTCGGCAGCAGCGGGGCCAGGACCAGCCTCGTGGGCTAAGGTCAGAAAACATTTCTCTGCAGTCACCTCTTCCCACCCTCCTCTCCCTTCCCTCGCTCCCCACCTCCAAGAAAAGGTTAAAACAAGTTCTTAAGTTGCATTCAGCAAAACAAACCCAGAAAAAGCTGCGAGTGGGAGTGAGGAGCAGCAGCACCCTGGAAGGGTGACAGATGGCCAAGAGCAAACCCACGTGGGCAGAGAAGCGCGGCCAGATCCGGCAGCTCCTGCTGCCGCCGCAGCCCCCGCCCCCCCC